TGGGGCCTGGCCACTCTGCAAGGAAGAGTCCAACACTCACTTGGCAGCAGGTCGTAGCTGAGCTGTCGATGGAGCTTATCCTCCAGGACCAGCAGGAGAGTGAGCTGAGGGTGGAGGGACAGAAGCACAGAGAGGCCCCCCCCTCCAGCGTTATTCCTCTTGGGGCCTGGCCACTCTGCAAGGAAGAGTCCAACACTCACTTGGCAGCAGGTCGTAGCTGAGCTGTCGATGGAGCTTATCCTCCAGGACCAGCAGGAGAGTGAGCTGAGGGTGGAGGGACAGAAGCACAGAGAGGCCCCCCCCTCCAGCGTTATTCCTCTTCAACGGACCACAAGTCTTCTCAGAGCAAAATACCGACAGGCCACCCAGCATTTCCAGAGGCTGCTGACTCAAAGCATGACTGAGAGAGCAGCCATTAAACTTGGAAGTTAAGCCGACTCAAGCGGGGGGACCTGCCAGGTCTTGCAGAGGGAATCCCATTTTCCTCTCTCCCACTATTTCCTCTTCCCCTTCCCTGGAAGCCCCTACAGCCTCTCCCTTTCCCTGCTGCTGCCTCCTCTCCTTCCCACCCGCCAGCCAGCCTGTCTTTACCTCCCCCCCCCCCCCGTCTTCCCCCTTCCCTCTTTTCTTCCCCCAGCAGACTCTACCCGGGGGAAATCTGGCCCTTTTGAGCGGTTCTGCCCACGAGGCTGGGCTCAGTTGCAAGGCCTTGTGGGGGCACTTCACTTCACTTCCCCTTCCCCACACCATCCCCTTCTCCCCACGTCCTCACCTTCCCCTGCTTCCATCTCTCCTTCATACCTACCAACCAACCTCCGTTGTATCTGTCCCCCATCTTCAGCTATACTGATTAGCTGTCTTTTCATTCACATCCCGCCATTCCCCACAATGGGAACCCATAGCAATATACAGCATTCACCTCTATTGTATCCTCATTTTATCCCCCTATGAGAACGCGTGACTGGCCCAAGGTCACCCAGCGAGCCTCCGTGGCACGAGTGGGGATTTGAACCTGCCTCTCCCAGACCCTAATGTGAGACTCTTAACTACCGTGCCACCCTGGCTGCCGCTGAAGGACAGTGAGCAGCCAGGCAGGAGTGAGTCATGCCAAGTGGCCTGGTGTCAGGTCGCCCGCGGCTGCTGCTGCTGCTGCTGCTGGGCCTGGCCCCTGTAAGCCCTGCCTCAAAGGCTAAAACACGCCAGGGCAAGGCCTTGGCCCCCTCCCTCTGCCTATTTCCGACAGAAACCAAGACCTGAAGGCTGGCAATACTATGCGGCTGTCTAGCAACGGCCACAGTGGGCATACAATTAATCACAGGTTTAAAAAATAAATAAATGTGTTCCTGAGAGGACACTTTATGGGAAGGGGGGGGGGGTCCTCAGTGGCCTAAGGTGCA